TCCTCGAGGATGTTGCCCGAGGACATTCCCTAAGAGCGATGTCAGAAAAGAAAAAAGAAAAGAAAAGAAAAAAGAAAAGAAAAGAAAAAAACAGTTGTGCCTCAGGCCTTCAGCCAATATGGTGCCGCCACAATCCACATTCTCGGCTGTAACGTCTCTCTACGTGTGTGCCCTCTCCTCTCCGTGAAACGAGGATTCCTTGTGCCCAAGGGACCTCGTGAGGTCCCTTGGGCAATAGGAAGAAATGGCTGGGGAAAGTCCTATTGCCCGAGGAATTTCCTTACGAGTGTTTTCACTTTTTTTTTTTCGATTGCATACCCGAGCAACGAACAATCCTTGGGGATTTTGCATTTCCGAGGAGTGTCTAACGAGCCCCAAAGATTATGGTGGATGTATCTCTGCAAGGTATAGAAGCTCGTTAGACACTCCTCGGGCACGTAAATCCCCCGAGGAAAACTTCGTTCCACCTATCCTCGGGGATGAAAATGAAAACAAAAAGTGAAAACATTTCCTCGGGGAATCCTCGGGGCGTCCTCGGACTACAGCCATTTGGTGGCATTCCCCAAGGCACCTCCCAAGGTCCCTCGAAGGTCAAGCATCTGCGACAATCGGAGTGGCAACGGCACACATCGTCAACAACAATTTTTTTGTCGGCTGGTCCATTGGAGTGTCTACCGGCCACCACATGGACATCTTGGGTCGTCAACGTTCGGCTTCAAGGAACCTTCCGCCAACGGTAACCGTTGGTGGTCTATCGGCCTCCGCGAACGTCCCCAATAGGTGTTCTCCCTCGCAGTGTGTGCCGCCAAATGGAACGGCTTTCAACGGTCGTCAAAATGGAATATTTTAGCCGACCCTACTTTCAATTCCTCACTGTATTCAGCGACGTGAAACATTAGAGGACATTTGTCGGATGCTGCGGTCTGCCATTTGCTGCCCTCTTCGTCATCGTTTGGTGGAGGTGTACTGACGTTGTGTAGCTATTGCCCTTCCCTACGTGTCGTTCATGGCCGATGTCTTTCGAAGGCTGCCGCTGCCGCCCCTGATAATCATTTTGTTCGTCCTTCTAATCGTCTTCCATGTCTGCATCCTCGGCAGGCTGTCTGGACGCACATGCAAGAGGCGTTCTGCAAAGAAGGGCGTCATCATGGACGGACGGCAGGCGAAGAGCAGGTCTTCAGTGGACCACTCCACGAGCCACCATGCAGGCCACATCCCGGCTTGCAGTGCAAGGGCATATGACTCGTTAGAGTGCGTGTGTCGTATGTCCTCTACCGTCTGCTCCCTTTATCGTCACCGTTCGGTGGACCTTCACCGTCATCATGGAATTACAGCCCTGTCGTACATGACATTGATGGCCGACCTCTATTGAAGGTTGCCACTGCTGCTCCTAGTCACAATTTTGCTTGTCGTGGTGATCCTGTTCCACGTGTGCATGATGGCCGACCTCTATCGAAGGCCTCCAGCAGAGAAGACGAGGTATCACCACCAACTGCAATCGACATCGACATCGGTAGCGTGCCCCGCGGGCGTTCGTCCACACTGGATGGAATCGCCATCGCCCGAAAGACACGTGGCGACATACGCAGCTTCTCCCAGAAGTAATCCTCCGCCGAATCATCGCATTGCCTGAGATCCGCCCACGCCCTCCCGGTCCTCCTTTTCATCCACCACCCCGGCGTCACTCATGGAAAAACACTGCAACCCATGGTGCAGCAAATCTGGACTACAGCCTTGGTGATGGCCACGGTATCCAGCCCTTCGACCGGGACTTGATGAAGCATCTTCCTCCTCCATGCGTGGATCTGCGCTCTCATTCTGCCCAATGCCCTCTCTTGCTGACAACGAAAGCGCACGGCCATCACGGCCGCCGCCACGACCGTCTTCTCGATCGTCGTCAACTTGGCACGTCCGTCGTCACTGCCGCCCTCCATCGACACATGTGTTACAATGCTCATGAACCACGAAAATACAACAGCCTATGAACTCGCCCCGATCACGGTAATCTCAGCACCAAGTTGCCGACGATGTTCCCCGTGTGTGCTCAACTCCACACATACGCGCGGCGGCAGGAGGAGGCGATGGCAACAGACCTTTGCGGGGCACTCACAAATTCGTGACGACTTACGAGGACTCCACTGCGCCACTGCAAATTGCTGTTTCCACCGTTGCCAATATGGACCCCGCGAATTCAAAATTTCCTCAAAGACAATGCAGACCTCTCCAAGTCTAACTGTGTGGGTCATTGCTATGGTAAAAGAATATCCCTTTGCAGACCATATCCCCGTTCCATACCTTCCACCACCTCCCTCTTCTCTCCTCCACTCTATCTCCTTCATCGTAATGGAGGTAGTTGTGACAATGGGCCTCGCTCCACTACTCACCATATGCACAAAAGACAAAACATATGGCGGTGTACCTTTCCACGTTCTAGCGGAAGATTCATTTCATTTTGCACCTATAGCGAGTAGTGGAGCGAGGCCCAATGACAGCATTACAATGGGATGTACGGAGGGCAGGAGAGGAGAGGGAGGTCGTGAAAGGTGAACTCAATTCTCCAGATGAAAGACGAAACAAAGAGGACACAGACGAGCTGGAGCAGGAGGGAGGAGAGAGAGAAAACGGAGGAGAGGAGGGAGGAGGAGGAGGAAGACCTAGAGGAGGTGTGGAGGAGCAGCAGCAGGGAAAGGAAAAGGATAACCACGATGGAGACGACGACGGAAGGGACAGATACTGCAATACTTCAAATGTCTGCCTACAGGCTTATCAGCGTCAACGTTATAGTGCATCCCAATTTCTTACGATTGCGTATCAGCTTGACGCTGTTGAAAATCAGTTGTTGCTTGACCATAATAGTCCACCTGCAGAAGGTAGTAACTATACTACCTCAGGAGGCTTTACTGTAAATGTCTTACAGT